TAGTCTTCAAAATATTTAACAACTCCAAAACTTAGCTTAATAGAAGTGCAACTATATCTATGTTTTACCAAAACTTAGTAATATACATAAATTTTGTTTATTGGTTTATACATACATACAATATATATATATATATATATATATTTCTAATTACTCAATATTTAGATACACCATTAAAGAAGTCTCTAAAAACATTTTTCAACAAAACCAAACTTCTGATTTTGTTGTTAGAAGATCAAAATAAATATCCGTTTTTGTTCTAAAAATATCTAAAAATCTAGGCCTATAGCATTATTATTTTTTAGACATTATTCAAAATAAAAAAAAAAAAAACCCAATAAATTTTAAAAACTACATTAGTGCTATATATTTTACTTAATTACATTATATTATATATATATATTTTTTTTTCTTGTGTTCTTTAAAAAAAAATTAATACACTTTTAAAACCAAAATAAAAATCTAATGTTGCAATAGAGTCATAGCTGGTAATTTTAATTTGCATTAAAATATTTATAAATATTATTTATGATTTTTTAAAAACTATTTGCTAAATTATTTATTCAATTAGTTTTTATATATTTTTAGTACTACGATATATTTTTAAAAATCTTACAATATTATACTATTGATATTTTTAATAATTTTAAATGTATAATATATAATAATAATTATATTTTAATTAAATTTATATACTTTAGATAGTAATATAAGTATTTATATTAATATAAGTAATAAATTAAACTTTTTCCAAATTAAAATAAGACATGCAAGTATCTTATTTAAAATCATCAATCTTTCAAATTATTTCTATGATATTTCTTTAGGAATCTTCAATTATATATTATATAGATATATTTTGTTTATGTAAAAATACATAAGAATAAAGATTATGAGATATAATATAAATTTTTAATATGAAGTTTTAAAATTATTATTAATATAAATAGTATTTATAAAGAATCTTCTAGTATAATATTTCCTTTTAATAAAACTTCTTGACAATTTTTTTAGACAAAGCGATTTAATTTTTATAAACAAAAATTTATAAATAACTAAAAATAATTATACATACATATATATATATATATATATATATATATATATATATATTAATTTAATTACTTTTTTAAGGATATTAAATTTATAAAAACAATTATTAGCTTAGACAAGTAACATTAAAGATATATTTTTATCTAATATGTAAATTTATTAATAAAATAAATATAATAAAAAAAATTCTAAAAACTTTTAATTTAATTTTAAAGAAATATAATAAAATAAATTTAAAATAATAGCTAAAGAATAATGTCTTTATTGACAAAGTTTGTATTTCAAAATTTTCTTTGGTTAGTTTGTTTTTTGAACTATACATTATATTCTTTTTTATGAAAAATGTTATTTTTAGATTATATATATATATATTTTAGTTTTTTATATTATGTGTAAGATAAGTTTATGTTTATTAAATTAATTTTTTATTAAATAATAATATAAGTATAAATGACACAATTAAAAATAAAATTTAACTATCTTCTTAACTAAACAATTATCATGCTAGGATTCATTTATTTAATTTTTTGATTTTTATTTTTAGAATACTAATAATAAAGTAAAATTTATATTTTATCTTGGTTTGAGTAATTTCAAGACTAAAAATTTCAAGTATTATAAAATTATCTTGACATAAGGGATATTTAATTTTAAGTTCTTCAAAATTTCAATAAAAACGCACCAAATCCTAATTAGTTCTAAAATCTGGATAATTTTTTATTTTATTTTAATTTTTAAAATTTTAAAGTCTAATATCACTTTTCATTTTTTATTTTTAGATTTAAAATTTTAATTAGAATTAATAAGATTATAGTCATATGATTTAACTATATAAACCTTTTCGAATTTTTTAATGATACAAATTATAAAGGTAAAACTTTATAAGCCAATTTAAAGATTGAAATCTATATTATTTTCTTAAAAAATGCATTATTCACAAAATCTTATTCAAATCCATATTATAAAACTTAATCTGAAACCATAAATCTTTCTTTAAAATAGCTAGGTCTAAATTTATTTTATTTTTAATATGATCCAAAATCTTATTTTAAAATAAATTTCTATATCCTAAGTCCTACCTTTGGTGTCTTATTTAATACTATAATATTGGGTTAAATACAATTTACCATAAAAAAGTAAAAATTTGATTCTATTTTTGAAAAAAATATTAACTTTCATAAATATTAAGCAAGATACTATAATTAAGAAAAAAAAATTACAACTATATATAATTTCTTAAAACAAGTTCAGGGTTAAGATTGATTATTTTTACATATTTTAGATTATATACTCTAAATATTATGTATAGTAGGTTAATCAAAACTAAAATTTGTACAAAATATATAATATTATTCTTGTATATATATATATATATATATATATATTTATTTACTTAAAGAAAATTTAACTTTTTATTATTAATTAGCTTCATATTGACCAAACTTTAATCATCTTTAAAGATATATATATATATATATATATATATATATATAAATATTATTATTATTAACTTAGAAGTTCTTGAATTATTATAAAATATTTTGGTTTTATAAAACAATCTAACTCATTTGAAAAATACTTACTAATGCAATGCTTAAATTTTATAAAAAAAATAAAAAAATAAAAAATATATATATTCATATTTTGATCTTTATAAGACATATAAGCACAAATTACTATCATATACATATACATATTTATTCTAATAATTATCTCCATAACATGATTACGTAGACATAAGTAAAAATAGATAAATTTGATAATATCTTGTAGAGAAGCGCTTTAGAAGCATAATAGAACTAACTTTGTCTTTATATATGTCTATAGGTGATTGGTAGATTGAAAAATTAGAATTCTTAAACTTTGCAATCATATTACAAAGCAACTAAAATACATCAATGAATATTTGATATCTCTACTAAGTAATAATCAACTAGATTTACTATGTTGTAATAATTATTTTCAAACAATTTTTAAATTTTTTTATATTTATAATTTATGTAGAAATAAGTGTTATTTTGAAAAAATTTAAAATTTGATTCTTATAATTTTTGTACGTGTTATTTTTTAAATCCAAATTTTTATTGAACTTTAAACTTTTATCAAAATTAAATAATATTAAAAACAACAAAAAATTATCATTAAATAGTTAAAATTTTTATAAAATATTTCTTATAAGTAATATCTCTAAAAATTATAATATATTTAATTTTAATATATACACATTTATAGATAAGAAGATAAAAGAAAAAGAATTAAAATTAAAATTAAATATATACATATTTATTAGATAGAAAGGTATAAGAATAGTTATTGCTAAATACAAATGCTACCTTAATTTAAGATCACAATAAAAGAAATAAATAATGGTAACATTAAAAATAAGAAAATGATAAATCAACCTAGATGTTTGAACCATCATTTTACACTTTTAACCCCGTCTCCATTCCTAGCTATTCCCCTCTTCTCAACCATCACCCTTGTTCCTAACATTCTCAACCTCTCACTTCCATCCTTATCAATGGTTGTGAAAAGAGATGGGGACTACAAAGGTGCAATAATGGTTAAGATAGAGTGGTTTGCTTCAGTAAAAATTTGGGACTTTTTATCATTCTTCTAAAAATAGCCTTAGTCTTGCCTCCATAAATACTATCTACCAAGAAAGCTATGTGGAAGGATCTAAAGGACTATAATGCACTAATGACTAAGATTCCAAATTATAAGATGCTTCCATAATAGTATCTTCAAAGTGAGATACTTCTTATAGGGGTTATTATAGCCACAAGCTACACATTTAGATTAAAATTTGTATTTTAAAATTCTTGAAGATACAATTATTTATTTCATTTATTTCTACCATATTTTACTCACTTCTCCAAATACATGTTGTATAGGTATATGTGACAATAAAACAAGAAGATCAAGTAAAAAATCTTATATTATTTTTATAATGATATGATTATGAAATCTAGCAACTCAATTTCTATAATGGATGTATTATTCTGTATAAATAATAACTATGATTAACAATAAAATCAACAATTTGATTCAATCCATAAAGATCCTATGAAGATTCTATTGACAAAAATATCTATTTTATTGTTTTGAACTAATTTAAAATATATCAGCTAATAAAGATAATAATATAATTTAAAAATAATAATAGTTAATTATCTTCATTACAATAGAAACAAAACAATTACTTACTTTATATTACTAATCTTGTTAATTGTTATACAAACTATCTTATGTTTTCTTGATATGAATTGAAATGATGCCAAAAGTATATCTAAATTATAAATAATAAAATAATATTTGAGAAATAAATAAAAAATATATTATAGTATAGATTATAATCAATCCCATAATAAATTAAATTTGAAATACTTGGATTAATTAACTCAACATTGAAGAATCCTTTCATCTTAAGCAGAACATGCTTTATATATATATATACACACACGTGATTTTATTTATTATTTTATCATTATTTATTATTTTTATTAGAAGAGATTTGGAAAAAAAATTCATTAAATAAGATACATGGGAAATATGAAATCTCCATAATCCTTTATTGGAGTCTATTCTAGTCCTTTAATTTCCCAAATTGTAAATCATATGTTCATAACCAACAATTGCAGAAGGGAAACTCATGCGATTAATTAATTCATTCAGCTGAATCTGAACCCCCATTACCAAGAGTTCACTAACCGTGCAATGAGGCCCCCCCTAAGCACCCACTTCCGCCCTCTAATTCCGTGCCCAGGAAGAAACCCATTGGACGAGAGAAGCCAGCCCATGGGGCTCCCCAAGGCCGGGCCCTCATCCGGTGCCCCGACATTGACCACGGGAACAGGGTACTAATACCCCACAACCGTTTCAACTAGACTCGCGTATGTCATGCTGGCGCTGCGCACTTGCACTATAACCGAAAACTCTCACGGCACGTCTCGAATTTCATTATAATTTCGTGTTCGGGGAATCGATCGAGGTACTGTTACGTACTGGTGAGGGAGGGGGAATCAACAATGCAAAGGAGGGAGGGAATTGAGCCCTGGAGGAGGAAAATTAGACAACTCTGAGGTGATGGATGACGCTCGGTGTGCAGCAGCTGATTAAGGTTTTCCGGACTTGTCGTAGAATCTTTCGGGAATGGCAATTTCGGTGGACAGGTGGAGGTGCGCAACTGTAAATAAGCACGACACGACAAAGGCATCTAGAGAACTGTGGCCTTCGGATGCACTGCCGATCAGAGCCTGACCGGGGAGCACTTACAGTTGTGGGAGCTGAAGTTCCTTGAGTCGATACAATTCATTCTAGTTGCGTTTCAGTTCTGGCTTTGAGTGGAAGAGTCGAGAAGCCAACTATTGTTTGATGACGGAGAGAGTGGTGGTGCAATGGAGGGATAGCGATCTCCCAGTTCCTAGGGTTGGTGGTATTGTTGAAGCGCATCATGATTTTGTACGTTAGGGTGTTTGGGTTGGTCTGGTCGGGAATTGGATCTCGTGATAAAATTCTCTTGGTTTGTGGGTGTTTCCTCAATAGCTGTTTGCGTTGACAAATAATCTAAATCGTTATGACGATAACTTATTGTTCGCGAGTTCGTTCTTGCCGTTGTTGAGTACACATTCTTGATGCTGGCTATTCATGAGAACTAGTATTGCGAACGTTTGGCCATGACTTTCTGAGTTTGTCCTACGTGTGAAGAAGTTTGCATGGATTTTTTCTGGTGTAGAGCTTTCGATTGGCATTTCTTGCATATTCTGGGGTTTCTTTGATATAGTTGGTGATTCTTGTCCTAGAGACTTCTTCTCGCAAGTTGCTCTGTGTGTGCTGTATTGATCGTCGATTACTTGAGTTGAGAGCTTCTTTCGTTGGACTAGCATTATGCAGTTCACGACGCTGTAGGGTGGTAGCGCGCAGTTTCTCTTCTTGGGTTAGGCTACAGCCTGCCCTATAACGTGAATTCAAGTTCTTGCAATGGGTGGATTTAGCAGAGTATATTAGCGTACAATGGCGCAGGATTGAATCAGGTTACATCTAGTTGCAGTTTTCCGTTACTTACCATTAGCACTTGTGTGCCATCAATTCCTATGTAGAACCCGATTTTCCTCTCGATGATTGCGCATTCCTTTTGACGAACAAAGAGTTTGTCTTTCTTATTCAATAACTGTTTGCAACTTGAATTAGGGCCAAGCTGGGCTGGAAAGAGAATTGCACACATTTCTGCTGTTCACCACTGCTGATAACTTGATTCCCGAGACTGAATTGGGATTTTAAAAGGGAGCTAGTTTGGGGAGGGGAGCAGGGCACGCTTTCTGTATCGGGAAGCGCCAATCAGACAGCAAGAAAACATGGTGGTATCTTGTGCCAATGCTGCGGTTGCTGGATTGGTGTCTTCATTTGTGCTTCCCAAAACTCCAACATCATGTTCTGGAAGCCGAACTTCAGAGTTTCTCGATGCGTCGTGGAAGAGAGCATCTCTTAGTATCACACACACAGAACCGAGTAAAACTGGCTATTGTGTGGTGAGGATGCAAACGGTTGAAGAGGCTAAAGTTGGAACACGGACGTTATTGATCAGTAGTGTGATCGCATCCGAGGTGAAAGAAGTCCCATCTCCTCGAACGCGGCCTTTGCGAGTGCTAGTGGCAGGCGGTGGAATCGGTGGCCTTGTTTTCGCTCTTGCAGCTAAGAACAAGGGTTTGGACGTGGTTGTGTTCGAACGGGATATGAGCGCCATCCGAGGGGAAGGTCAATACCGAGGACCCATCCAGATCCAAAGCAATGCCCTGGCGGCGTTGGAGGCAGTAGATCGGCAAGCTGCGGAGGAGATAATGGCAAATGGTTGCGTCACAGGGGACCGCATCAACGGCCTCGTAGATGGAATTTCTGGCGAGTGGTACTGCAAGTTCGATACCTTCACACCCGCAGTCGAGCGAGGATTACCCATCACGCGAGTCATCAGTCGAATGAAGCTCCAAGAGATTCTTTCCGGTGCTCTGGGGCTTGAACACATCCTGAACGGCTCCAATGTGGTGGATTTTGTCGACGACGGGCGCAAGGTGAAGGTCACGCTGGAGGATGGCCGTACATTTGAAGGGGATCCGCTCCAAGCTGCGAGCCAAATTACTAGGAGACGATCCGACAATGTACTCGGACTACACTTGCTACACAGGAATCGCTGATTTCGTGCCTGCCGACATTGACACCGTTGGTTATCGTGTCTTCCTCGGCCATAAACAATATTTTGTGTCCTCGGACGTGGGTCAAGGAAAGATGCAATGGTATGCCTTTCACAACGAACCCGCTGGCGGGGTGGACGCTCCCGGCGCCAGGAAAGCAAGGTTGATGTCGTTATTCGGAGGGTGGTGTGACAAAGTGGTGGATCTTCTTATGGCAACTCCGGAGGAGCAAATTCTACGCCGTGATATTTATGACCGGGCTCCAATTCTGACCTGGAGTAAGGGCAGAGTAACGCTTCTCGGTGATTCGGCGCACGCCATGCAACCGAACCTCGGTCAAGGTGGTTGTATGGCGATCGAGGATGGCTTCCAACTTGCTCTGGATTTGTCAAAAGCCGCTCAGCAACCTTCACCCGACTTACAAAAAGTGCTGAAAGATTACGAGGGCAAGAGGAGGATACGCGTGGGGGTGATCCATGGTCTGGCACGCATGGCGGCCTTTATGGCCAGCACATACAAGCTCTATCTCGGGGAGGGCCTCGGCCCTCTCTCATTCATCCAAAAACTCAAAATCCCTCACCCAGGTCGCGCGGGAGGCCGGTTCCTCATTTCCCTCGGCATGCAAACCATGCTCAGCTGGATTCTGGGCGGTAATAGCTTCGCACTTGAGGGCCGCGTTCCATACTGCAGCCTCAAGGACAAGGCGGACTCCAACCTCACGAAATGGTTCCGGAACGACGACGAACTTGAGAAAGCCACCAACGCTGACTGGTACTTAGTCCCGGCCTCGGAACGAATGCCGATCGAAGGCAACGTGGCGGAAACCGGGAGGTCTCTACTGCATCTGTGCAAGGAGGAATCCAAGCCAACCATCGTGGGATACAAGCCCTGCGAGCCAGAGCTTGGCGAGTTCCGCGCTATGACCCTCCCCCACGTCGCACCCCGCCATGCCAAGCTCATATTCAACGATGGCGCTCTATTTATCACTGATCTAGACAGCAAGACCGGCACTTGGATCAACAGCATCAAAGGTGGTAGGCACAGGCTGCCGCCCAAGAGACCCGTTCGAGTTCATCCCGAAGATGTCATCGAGTTCGGCCCTGCCAAGGAGGCTCGGTTCAAAGTGAAGCTTCGAAGGCTTCACAGTCTTCAGGTCAGGGACGCGACCTAACAACACGGACTTGATTACGTCTGAAGCATTCTAGCAATCGACGAGAACTCAGTAGAAGAGGGACTCTCAACAGCAGCACCAAATTACCACTAAAGCCACAAGTTTTGAGTTGGATCCACAGACTGAGTGAAGTGCGTCAACACAGATCGATCGCTCATGCTTTTCTGAACTCATCACAGAGAAGCGTGTTCACCGCCATCACTCTTGAAATGAAAGAAACCGTAGGCTACGTGAATCCGTTGCCGCTTTGTACATTGCTAGAGTATGATCGTGCTGCACGGGAATCGGATGCGCTGTGTGAGCTCAGGCCCGAGTGTGATCGATCGCCGTTTCACTTCGACATACTATTGACCGCCGTATCGTTATGGATGATATTTATTCATCCACTTATTCATCCACGATGGATAGTTTGACTGGTGGTGGATGAATGAAAGCGTAGGTGGATGTACTGATAATAGATGGATGATGATCGATGAGGGAGAAATACGGTAGTTAACGTCATTTGATTGTGTAGGTTTTAGGGTTTTAGGGTAAATCCTAAACCTGATATTTACAACTTTGAAGAAGTGAATGTATGTGCACATGAACAAATGAACACCAAATATGGCAGATGTTTTCAAAACACAACACAGTACACCTAAATGGAGAATGGGAAAACACACTACAATGATTTGGTAATTGTTGATTTGGTATGTGGTGTGATGGATATTGAAATAGTATGCATTGCATTGTTGTGCAGTTGTTTCATGTTTGTGGGTACTCTTTCATTCAGGCCTATGCAATATGTATCTCTGTGCTTGCAGAATGTGGTTCATGCTTTATGAAATCAGAAAATTTGCTGTAAAACTCATTTTACAAAGTATCAAATGCATGTGAGTGAGTATATATATATATATATATATATGTATATGTGTGTGTACATATGATTGTGTATGTTTAATTTTGATGGTGTTTTGTAAATTAAATAGTAATTTTATGATTGGTTTCTTGTTTGTTTGTTTTACTTTTTTTTTATTCTAACAACATAAATAAGTAAGTAAAAACTGTTCAAAATTATTATTTTTGTTATACAATTCTAACTGGCATCTATATTTGAACTTCTTTCTATAAAATTTTGCAACCTATCAATATAGGTTATATTTTGTTATTTTGTTGTCAATAATTTATTTGATTAAGTGTTACTTGACAAGTTTTCAGCCATCATGTTAAGTTTTATATTCTGTATGTTAATCATTCTAAGTTTTAAAGTTCAATATACAGTTTGATACTAATTTTGATGTAGTAAATTATATATTAAATTTCTATTTTTAATTTTTTTAAATCAAAATTTTAGATGTCTAGAAAACACATTTTAAAATAAGAAATCTTACATGCATAATAATTGTCAAATTTATTTGTTGAATTAAAACAACCAATTGAAATATTATTAACAATATTTTAAGATGGTTATATAATTAATATATTTCAAAATTTGTATATACATCCATATCAGACTTTTCATGTCTGATTTTAATTTAAGTTAATAGCAAAAATAGACACAAATTTTAAATTTGGTCTTAATATTATAAGAGAAATTTAAAGAATTTTTAAAGATTTAATAATAATATTTCTTGAATTATTATAGCCAAGTTATTCCAAAGTGGCATGTAAAGCTTTTGTTACTCCAATCACATCACAAAATTCTCACAATAGCAAAGGAAATACAAATTCTACTTTTTCTTCACATTCCACTTACTCAATTTTAAATTATACATGTGCAAAGACTTATAAATTTGTATGTAATATCCATATCATTTGTAGTTGCAAAGTTAGTTATTTCATTTTAGCAACTTTTGGTTAATATAGAGAATTATTTGTGATCTTTTTGTAATGAGAAGAATTAGTGTGAAAATCAAAATAGTGTTGTTTATTTACAAATTATTATTTTAAAGAATCAGTCTTCCCTATCTAGCAAAATAATACAGCATATAAAATAACTATTGTAGTATTTTTATTCTAAGAGATGTGAGAGAACAAACATCATAAACGATTTCATGGAAACATTGACTTTAATGCTAACTATTGTATTGCAAAGACAACATTCTATAATCAATTGCCCAATCTGTGTTAAAAATCCTTGTTATCTTTGCAAAGAACTTCCATCTAAAGAGGCTTCATGCGGTTTAAAAGGCCTACTGTATCCTTGAAGTTTTTGCTACTGTCAACTAGCTTCAACATAGTAAAGCTCCAATTTGTGGCAATTGGTGGCAATTGTAGCAATTTAAACAAACAATGTTGCTTTTAATATATAAAAAATATATTGTAACAATTTGTAAAAATAATAAAAAGAAGCATTGTTATTTATCAATATAAATAAATTTTGATATATCTTTAATTTTAATTTTTGTATGAATGATCATAGCATATATGTATTCAAATGTTTTAATTAAATAATTTTAAATGAGGTTATTTTTAATTTCAAATAATAAAACATCAAATAAAGATCATTTATATTCTCTTCAAAAGAATCAATAAAAATATATTTCTCAACCAAAGATAAACCTACATGTGATTAATTTCTTGAGCTAAAATTATATATCTATATATATATAATTTAAACTGAAAATTTAGATATTTTTCATTTGATTTTTCTGAAACATTTCCCAAAATTATTTTTACAATTTTTTTTAACAATACAAATCTGTTTTTCTTTAATGTATCCTTTGTTTTAAAATAAAATGTTTAAATCTCAGTTTTTAAATGTATTGTGCAAATTAAAACCAAATTTTTCCAAAACGAAATCAAAGTAGTCTCTTCTTTCTTAAAACTTATGTATATCAATGTTCTAATGCATATGCCAACACTTTTTAAAAAAATTAAGTATATCAAAAATGAGAGGCTTAAAAGATATCAAGATTACTTAATTTGTAATAAGTGATATTTTTGGTCAGAAATAAACTATTTCGTTTTAAAAATCAGACATACAACGAGCTATTTTCATCAATTGAGTGTAAAAATAACATAAAATTAAATTGTTGGTGCATATACATATATGTACACACATAATCATGCAAAGAATTGACAAGAGTTCTCACAAAGCTAGTTCACACTTGCATTGATATGAATCTCTACAATATTTTGTGTCTTTCAAATGATTTTCTGTTGTACATCAATTTCAAAGTTGTTACGTGTAAACTAACTTTGGACTGTCACTTATTCAACATGAATAGGCCTCTAATTAAACATTCATGTGCTTTTACAAGCAACTTTTGGTTGATGCATGATCCTTTTAACATTAATGTATTTTATCTTTATTCCTAAGATATTCACAAAAGAAGGGAAAAACACTGCTTTCCCTGAGCACTTCGAAGACTTGGATCACTAGACCTGAAAACACACATGAATGTCTTCTGATAAAAACAGATCAACACACCATCAAGAGTAGAAATGGATTAGTCTGTAACCAGAAAACTGTGGATTTCAGAGTCTAATTGATTCATCTGGCATTGACTGCTGGACTTGCCTACAGTTGTCTCTAAGCGAGGAAGTTGGCTTGTGTGTCTTCGAACTGCTACTGCTGGTTACACCGAGATGGGTCACCCAGGAATCTGTTCACAGTTCTGGACAAGAGTTGCAGCAGGATTGCTGAAGGTAGAGGACGCAGCATAAGCAAGGAATCTGCGGGTTTAGTATACTAAGGTCACATTTGCAGTGAGATTGGGCAGTGGTGAGCACAACTCGGGAGGCTCAGGAACATGAAATCGTAGAGAAAACGATGTGTCGCTCATTAGGAAAGAATTTCGTAATGTACAAGCGGGCAACTAGGGCTCATGTCGCGTTCATCGCCCAGAGAAGTCAGGACGAGCTCACGATGAGTGCCTCGATGATCTCAAAATGCATCTGCATGCTAGCCTTACGGTGGGAGAAGTACAAGGTCTCCGCAACGCGCAGTTTGGCAGCTGTGCCGTGCCGGGATGCAGCATCCTGCAGGATTTCTCTGCATGTGTTCTTCTCGTTTGCAACCCAGCGTCGCCCAAGGTCACACCACTGTCTCGGGGTGCCGTGAAACGCCACCAGAAGACCTCCCTCACGTGCTCGGGATGCTCTTGCAAGGCCCTCCAGCACATGGGCGTCAGTTTGGTATGCACCTGGACAGTTCAAGCCCACGTCTACGTAGTGGACCTCGGCAACACCTCGAAGGAAATCCTCCACTGTTGCAGGAAAGAGAGCCGACCCGCTTAACACATCCTTCACCTTCTCATCAGGAGAGTCCATGGTCCTCAAAGAGCCCTGCAAGAGGTGGTCATGAGTTATTAGCTGAACACAATCGGGGAATGTGGAAACATTCACGTGCTACCATTCATCCCCTCGATTATTGTAAGCCCAGTTCTTCAAATACTCTCAACATCGTGAGGCGGTCAACTTCTCACCTCAATCTTAGCAGGTTTTCCAGAGGAAACCTTCGAAACATTGCGATTAAGCCAGCTTTTCTTGTTGAATATTTTGCCCTCCTCCACTAAGTCTTCAAAATGCGTCAATTCCGCTAGCAGCTGGTTGAGCACCACGCCGCCCTTGCTGAAGCCGAACACGGATGTCTGGGGGCATTTCTTCATCCTCGGAGACAGGTTTGCCACGGGTGGAGTGGCAAACCCATGGCCACATAGGAATGTTCCGTTAACTATGTCAGTTTCGGATTGCTTCCCAACTGCCACTCGCTCTCGCTGACCTGCCAGGCTCTCCGTGCCCAGTTTCGTGTTCACCTGAACATATGAAGGTCCACTCTTGAGGAAAGGGATTTAGCCAACAGGAAGTGCTCTCAACACGGCAACTCAATTAATTGAACACTAGACAGACTCTCCTACGTTGAAACTAATTTTGGTATCCTTCAATCTTAACCTTCCGATACCTTCTGTCCAAAATCTACTAAAATGTTGAGCTAAAATTCTTTGATGGTCTAAGGTGTAGACCCACCCTCACAGAAAGCAGCAAAATGCTTTGGGTTCCCTGGACATGAAGTATACTCGCATGTAAGTGATTAACACTAAAATCATTTGAGAGATGAGACATCAACCTAGTTTTTACGGAACTAGTGTTCCCTACCATTGTTGCTACATTGTGAATATCAGTTATACCATGGTAGATTCACCGGAACCCGAAAGAAGTTAGACCTGAGCTAGGCAGTTCTGGAGGATAGAGAGCGTCGCACGAGCTGCCGGCAACTCCTTCGGTTCATATCCCTTTGGTTCCCCTTTGGCTGTGAGGGACGGCAAGAGGTTTTCATAGCAAGCAGAGGAGCTTCTGTAATGAGAAGGCTCGATGATCCAAGCGTTGATGGAAGGGCCAAGCTTAGACACCAAGATTGAAGCGATGTTCTTCGGTTGGGAGAGTCGCTCAATTTCTGAATTTCCTGTTCCTGATACCCGATCGCCCACATAGAATACCACGTTCCTTGAGGGCGACTGCTTTCTAACACGACAACCACACACAGAAACCCTATTCAGCATTTGGCAAACGGTATCGCGAGTAAACTTAGTTTCCAGACAGGATGTTTAGGATTTGAACCACACAAGGCCTCTGGGTAATCCTAATTAATTCTGTTCACTGTAGAAGAACGAAACGATCGGAGAGAAGACGGACAATAAATGAAGAATTCAGCAACCTTCGAAACTAAACGAGCTGTAATTCTAACTAAGATCTCTAAAGAAGTTTACAATCTCCCACAATTGTATTGAACACGTCAGGAAGACCCAATTCGCAAGTTTGGGTGTATCACAATTCAGAAAGAGTTGAAATGGAGCAGATTGGGGCAAGTATGGGAGCCACCGCTGTAATCCTGAACAGGCGAGCCAGGGATCTTACTCTCGACATAATGAAATAGCTATCGACACGATCTGCACGAAGAAAAAGAAAGGGTGGGAAGGAAGAGGAATGGTAGAGTCAAAGAGGGCATCACCAGAAGAGTCCCAGTTGACGGTGAGTAGCATAGAGACGCCGTCACGCGCGTGTGGCTATTGGAGCCACTGCAACAGACTTGTAGCACGCCTTCCCATCTCCCCTCTGCCATAGCAGCACCAAAAGAAAACAACAAATCTCCTCTCGACAACAAGTATCACCTGTTCCTCGCCGCAGCCTCTAACCAAGCGCAACAAATAATCATGCCCAATTCCCCAACAGCATTAGACTCCCCCTACCAATTTCATCTTCAAACTCTCACTCACAGCTCATCCTTCACTAAGCAAAATATACATGTAAAGATAGCTCCTCCAACAACCCCCCCCCCCCCCCCCCCCCCTCACACTTCAACCCAACGACTGACCAGAAAAGAAAACCAAGACTCAGAAACGAGGAATGAGATTGAGATTGTGGTGTGATACGATACGAAACACCTGACCCCCACCAGTCATCTGCATGACATGGGGCCCTCGTTGCAACTGATTGCAGGCCAGGAGCGACAATGTGGACAAGCACCCAGCACACAAAATAGGGGCCCTGTGTGGATAAGGCTATGACGACTGCTACCACTGCTACTACTACTATTACTACTATTACGACTTTGGGATGCTGCTCATGCGCACAAATAAGAAATAACAAGCAGCAGAAGGCAAACTCCTCTCAATCTTACTCGCAATCCCCACCCCTACTCCACCTCGGCCTTCCTCTTCAAACAACCATTCAGAACCACACTCTCTCACTCTCTCACTCACTCTCTAAAACTCAAGCACACAATGAAACATGAACAGGCGAGAGACAATGAATGAATGGGATGGAGATGCGACTATGGCAGGCAGGATTTATGCGTCCAGAGGACGACAATAAAGCACGGCAGGCTTTGTAGCCGAAAAGTGCCCCCCCTCTCCCCTTCCTTTTGGCCCCCCCTACCCCTAAGAAGCGGCATTATCACCATGTCTGTCTGTCTGTCTGCCCGCAAGTTCCGATGAGCGCACAGATTCGGCGCCCGCCCCCAGGATCGGCACTTACTCACAAACTCACTCCCTCCTCACAAGCAAGCGAGCATGCCACTCTCTTCCTCATCTAAACCCAATTAAACAATATCCAATTAAACAACACCTAAATCTATTATGAACCTCGCCCCCCTCGTCGGAGGTCGGAGGGCGCTCCACGTCTACACCCCTCCCCCACCCGCCCCTCGCCCGAGACGATGATCATGATTCATCCTCGTCGTCGTTATCGTCGGTCGTCGCTGACGTCGGGTATCTATCGTCAGTACTGTCCGACGTCATCGACAGATGAGGTCGGTCGTCAGTAGTGCCTGACCTAGTCGCTGACGTCGGGCATCGGTCCTGGTGCTTCGGTCGGTCGTCGACGTCGACGGAGGAAGGGAGGGGAGGGATGGCTGGCACCCACCCGCGGAGATGGGTTGGCATTCATCCGTTCACATCCAAAGTTCGTTCGTCCGTCCGTCGTCCTGAATTCCAAACCCTGTGGAAGAATGCAGCTTCTTGGCAATTCCTATAGAGACACACTCACTATTATATTATTATCCTGCCGTCGCTTCTCCGTAGCTCACAATTCTACGCATCCACTTTTTTACTTTTTGCCTCCTTTTCGGGTTTTATTTTTAGGATTTCTCTGTCAAGACTCGTTCAACAACAGCAGCACACCTCCTTTTTCTGGATGTTTGCCTGCAGGACCTTTGCCCTAAATGTGTTACTTTTGGGAGTTTTGAATTCTTTTTATTTCGGAGAAAGCACACCTCCTTTTTCGGGGTGATGAGTATTTTATGTGCATCCTCCAACCAAGGATTCCTTTTTTTGATCCCACATCAAACCATAGTATATTAATTCCGACCTGGATTACCTTAAAATGTATGCCTTGCCAGTTCTCATGTATTGTGTCTGACATTGCAAGTACTCTGGGGAAAGTGCTAGTTGGGGACCATAAAACCTTGTGTGGCCCTTGATAAAAATTTGGAGTGGAACACAGAGATCAAAGTCAAAGATCAACACACTAAGAAATTAACAATCACATTAGTGGGCTATGCCCATCTTTCAATCAGATGCAGATTATGTTTAGATGTGCAGCATAAGGTTACAAACTGCACCCATTGGCTTGGAGCAAATACACATAAGCTCTCACTAAACTGGTCATTGAACAAAAGCAGAGTCCACTACAACATAGGTCAGACAGTCATCATGCAACACACAGAGTACAACTCAACAATCCCCAAAACAAGTATTGATGCTAATGGCTTCATGTTAGTTACAAGAAGTTACAAGGGAAAAGCCAGAGCTCTACCACAGAATACTAACCCTTCTGACCCTTGACAGCAAATTATGGCCCAGCCTCAAAGCCATCAGAGGCACTTTGGTAGCCCTTCATTCTAGTACAACCACCATAATTCCAAAGGGAGTATGGTGGAGTTACCGCCTCCACTACTACACACACCCTTCAAAGGAATTCATCTACTACTCAAACCAAAGTCACTACTCCTAATCTATATGGTAACACATCTACTTATATATATTCTACTCCTATAGTGCACAATGGCCCAAATCGATCCTCAGCTCTCAAATTGCCTTGCAGCTCCCTTCCAATAGAGCTCCATCTTGAGTCCATAGCAAACAATCCCACAACTATACATACAAATGGCATCAATGAACCACCTATGCATTGCAATGTCATCCTAGCAATCCAACCTTTGGCTATAATTGCAATTGCATACCTTCATGCTAATTGATCCATGGACTACCAAAGAGTAAATTACGTCCATTTGATGTCATAGACATACATATTGATTCTAATATTTACCTATATGATTAAATAGAAATAGATAAAAATAGACTTATATGAATAACTAAATTAATCCACTTAGATATTTAGTATAAAAATATATTTATTGTACTTAAAATCACAAATTTTGTGAGTTAGTAATAGAATTTCAAGAAAAAATAAAAAAATAGATTGCCAATAGTTGATGTGCAACCTATGATAGAGTTTAGTAAGAAAAATTCTACAAAGAATATATGTTATTAGTTAGCTAATATTAGATGAAGGACCAAAGGAATTAGTCTTGATAAAAAAAAGGAAAAAAAATATTTTATTAATATTTCTTAAAATACATATATATATATACATATATATATAAGTTTTATATTAAAAAAATATTAAAAAAATAAAAAAAAAGAAAAAATCAAAAAATAATAAGAAACAAAAAGAAGAATAGAGAATAGAAAGAAGAATAGAAAAGAAAAAAAAGAAAAAGAAAGAGGAGAAGGAAAAGCAATCATGATAGAAGAAGAAAAGAAGGACAAAAAAAAAGACAAAAAGAAACAAAAAAGAAAAAGGAAAAATAAATAAAAAAATAAAAGATGATCAAGAAGGCGAGAAACTACCCTTGAATGGCGGCAGCTTCTTTGTCAATAGGAGTCCAAGCTATCCCAAATCTTTTTTTTTTTTTTTTTTTTTTTTTTTTCCTCTCTTTATTTTTTGGTATTAAAGATTTAAGCTTCAATTGATCTAAATTTCCTTTTGGAGCATGTTCTCTTCCAAGTGTGCATAATATGTGTAGCAATGCTATGGTTTTTTTTCTTTCTCCTATGTCATATATATATATATATATATATATAAATATATATATATATATATATATATATATATATATATATATAAGTATTCTAGTAAATACCTATATGATTAGATAGAAATAGATAAAAGTAAATAAAAGTAGGTTAATTTCAAAATACCTTCTAGAAAAGCTTTATAGAAGCTTCATAGATGTTGCTTTGATTTTATATATGTTTGTAATTGATTGGAAGATTAAAAACTTGGACAAAAAATTAATTATGTGTTGGTAGCTTTGGAAACAAGCTAACTATGTGTCAAGGACAAAGACTCGATGAGGAAAAATATACACCAAAAGGCTATCTCGATATAATAAGTCAAAATATAAACAAGTAGGTATATTAAAAGGAAACTGGAATGGCTATTGCCACAAGACAAGAAACTAAAGACTCTTGAACCTGGACTAGAAGCAAGAAAGGAGTTGACAAGAGTGAAGAAGCCTTCACTCTTGTCTCTATATATACTATCTAACTAGGGGCTACGTGGCGACGTTCTATAGGACCTCCAATATGTGTTGACTTTGTAGGACACATGCCTTGACTTACAAGGCAAGTTTTTCTACGTGTGGGCCACATAGTTAGCTTGATCTTCAAGCTAACAACATGTGTGGCACATGGCCAACTTGTTGACCACGTTTCTAATCCAAAAAGTCAATTAAAGATACCTATGAAGTCAAAGCAGCATCTAGGAAGTTTCTAGGAAGCTTCTATATTAAATATTATACAATTAACTTACTTTTATCTACTTTTACTTACTTCTACCTATTTCTATATGTAATTATTAGCTTACATGATTATGGCCGTGACATTACCCCCCCTTCTAGAGACGAGTTCCACGAGGAGCGGTCATCATATGTTGAGGAAATCTATGATGCGACGAATTGTATTTGCCACATACTCTGATCTCTGTTCTCTTCGAAGATGATTGATAGGGCCTCTCAACCATTGGTAGTGTCCCATACCAGGGCGGAAAGACCACCCAGTTATTTGATCATTATTGAGGCCTTCATAATTTCCTTCGAATAGAATATTCGGAACACCATCAGGAGTTGTTCCTACCTCTAGCAAAATCACCAAACATCGGGAGTCCCTTCCCAAATCGTGATACCAAACGCGTTGTATCTCACCATCTGTTCGAGGAAGAACATGTCGTTCTTGAAGATCTTCATCTCGATTGCGTCGTCTTGAAGGTTGTGACAATCGTAATGTCTCATCCGGCAGGTCAGCAAACGAAGGTTCTTGAGTTGAATCTGCTGGTTGTTGGCTCTCCATCTAATTAGCGTCACAAATGCAAAGAAGTTACAAACAAAGATAGGAAATTGAATGTTATCTTGCCTCAATCTTGTCTCTTTTATAAGAGAGATTTTCATCTTGGTTTTGATGGATGTCGTTGATGAAAAACTTTGACTTTAGTTGATGCATTTGCTAGATTCCTGGATGGCTCCCATGTGCGTTCACTAATATCATATCCGCGCCAATGAACAAGATATTCCAGCTTATTTCGGCGCCGCCTTGAGTCTAATATCTCTTCCACCTCAAATTCTTCATTATTATCTACTTCTATAGGAGGCGGTGGCATTTGTCTTCTTCCTTGTATATCCACTGTCTTATATGGTTCAAGAAGAGATACATGGAATACATGATGGATCTTCATTGACTCCGGTAGATGTAACCGATATGCAACTGGGTTGATCTGTTCAGAAACAGAAAAGGGGCCAAGCCTACGATAGTCCAACTTGTCACAAGGTCGAGTAGTCTTGATATTGCGACGAAGTAGCCATACCTTATCACCCACGTTGATTTGTGGTTGCTCCTTACGATATAGATCTGCGTTTATCTTTTGTCGTTCTTGAGCTTCCTTCAATTGTGTCTTCATTATTGCATGTAACTCTGACAACCGATTTGCCATATCTTCTGCTGCAGGATTATCAACTTTTGAAAAATCAAAAGTATCAAGTCGTGGATGATAGCCATAATTGGCAAAGAAAGGTGTTTGTTGCGTGGAAGAATGTACCGTATTATTATAAGCAAACTCTGCCAATGGCAGAAGGGTTGTTCAATCATCTTGTTGGTAGTTGATAGTACACCTTAAATATTGCTCCAAGACTTAGTTTACGCGCTCTGTTTGTCCATCAGTTTGAGGATGGAAAGCCGAAGATAGCTTTATGTCCACTTTTAAAATCTTGAAAATGGTCCTCCAAAATCTTGACACAAATTGAGTTCCCCTATCCGATATGATATCTTTAGGTAATCC